ACAGAAAACAGAATTTTTATATCGTCGTCGTCTTTTTGAAAACTTGGAGTTGTAGATTATTCTTGAGCACTTTCAGAAAACTGATTCAAGAAACATTCAACTCAATGACAAACTTCATAACAGATACTATCCTTTGTTAATTCAGTTTTCTTGTGATTTGTTGAATGACTACCTTTCTTTGAATCGTTCGTAAACGACTGGATGACCTTAACAGTTTGATAGAACCGCTGTCACAGCTAATTCTGTACCATCATTCGATTGTTGCAAGACTGATGAAACTAATCAAATCATCAATAATTGTGTAGTTGCCTTTAAACGCAATCATTCTGAAAAAGATGTCTTTGGCATAAAAATGATAAAAAAATGTTGTTGCAGCAAGAAAGAATTTAAAAAATCAGAATCGAAAAAGATGTTGAGCTCGTTTTGAGATATACTCAGATCTTAAAAAATATTCAGTTCGGTTTTAGTTGCATATGGTATCTTGCTTTCGTTCGAGTTTACATTAAGATTACGGTAAAACGAAGGTAATTCTTCGAACCTATCATACTCAGTCAAGTGACGAGAAACCCTTCAAATGTATAAGTTGTTCATTGTATCCAGCAATAATATTTATTGTCTTTTCGCTACTGAATGTTGAATAAAATTGATTTGGTTCTCGTGTAAGCATTATATGTGACTTGTAAGGGGACTACAGCTTAACGAGTATATCAATGAGCAGAATGAAGAAAAAGATGATCTTCTTAGGATTGGAAACGTTGGTCTTCTGCTGTCGTGATCCATGTCCTAAGCTAATTATATTAGAAGGGAAATTTTAATCTCCTTTTAGCGTCAAAATGTACCATCATCGACACCAACATTTTATATATGTTGACTACTTTTAGTAATTTGAAGAACCAATATAAATAATGCTTGTCACACTTTGTTTCTGTCAGTCTTAGTTTTCAATGTTAATGCTTTAACCTCTTCGCCATAAGTTCTTCTTTTTAGAACCTAACGAGAGATTTCATACTATCTTGTCTATCAGCTTCTGCAGAACCTCTCATGTATAATTCGATGATTCTTAAAATTATACGATCCATCCTAGCATACATTTTCTCGTCCAAGAATAGAACTTTCATTGTGACTTCTTTTTTTAAAACGTTGTTCTTATCTTATTTCGAAATATGCGTCGTTTTGTTTTGAGCTTACCGATAACCGAATCCAAGCAATGGAACTATCCTAATAGAGTTTCATCGAATCTGAACAAAACCTCGTGTGAATTTGACAAAAAGAATTATTTATTTTAAGCTAACTGAATTGTTCTGAAGCACATTCTTCAATGTTTTCTTGTAATTAATTTAAACATATATTCCTCTGTGACTGATTCGAATTGTTTTACTTTGAACGTACAACGTAGTTCTTAAAGGTTTGTTCTTGTCATGTGCAGAAACAGAAACAGTACTATCTTATATGAAACACTGGCATATGACCTGTTAAGAATCAAATGATAAATATTTTAGGAAAAATTGAAAGGCTAAAAAAAATACTATGATGACTGCTTATTCTAACCTATTCTTTGGTTATACCGAAATGAATTATACACATGTATGAAATTTGACGGAGTACATCTCATTTCATGTCCCGCAAATTGATGATTAAAACCTTCCTTATGTTGAAGTCATTATTTGTGCTCTTTTTTATAGGCTAAAAGCAAGAGAGACAAGATTAACAATGATTGGTCTATTCATTCTAGGGGTCTGTCGGTATCAAAAGGCATAACGTCGGTAGAAATTGGCCTGTGGCGAGAGTGCAGTACAGCTGGATCTAAAACTTGTGTCTATGGTTCATTTACATGTTCTGAGGCAGCGTCCTCATCATCAACATTTAGTCAATGTGTGAAAATAATTGTGGTACGAGCATTCATCACCATGGCATGTATTTTATCTGGATTCGGTACTCTATGTCTACTATAGATCCTTATGAAACAAGGAAGTAGTCCAGCATTTATCATGTTTGGCAAAGCATTTGCTGCTGTATCAATCATGTGTGGTATTATCGGTACTTCGTTGGGTATAAGTGAGACTCTACAAGATGAAGGGGTAAAGCTGGGTACAGCTGCCATTTTAGGCATTGCTGCCACTATTCTAAGTATTTGCAGTACTTGTATTGCTGTTATGATTCCTAAAAATAAAGTAGGTATAAGTCTGCTACAAAATTATTGACGTTTCAAACAATTATTGTTCTAATATTTCTATGACTAAATAATCAGAGATGTTTGCTTTTGAAAAAAAAACAATAAGGGAGCAAGTGCTAATCATTATATTAATTTGATTATTTCTTGTGTTGCTGAAAACAAGAAAGAAATTAAGATAAATCTCAAGTGATTTATATCGATGACTGACATATATGAATGTGGATCTATTTGTAAAAACGTTTTCAATGATAACGTTGCAACCTATTATGTGTATGTGTAATATAAAGTAAAAAGATAATACCCACACCCACATCTTTTTGGATGAAGTTATCGTTAATTGTATCAATATGACGATTAATCGTTAGTAATGTGAATTCCTTTTAAAGATGATGGAAAAAAATGAAGTAGAATTCGATATAATTTGATTTTCTTCTTATTAAAACAGATAATAAGATAATAAAGATCTACGACTACTTTATGAACAACATGCAATTACTGAACATTTTTAGGAAATGAAATTCTACCGATCTGGGTGTGGGTGTGGGTCTGGATGAACACAGAGCCAACAGACACACACACAAACCCGAGTGGCGATTCCGGACTATAAACATTTACTTTTTACTCATGAGCCATAAGCATAAGGAAGTAAAACTTTGGTTTCGCAGACTCGGAAGAAAATCGACACCTGATCCTGTTTTTTTTTCTAATACAAAAAGAGAACAAAATTTGGTTTTTCGAAGATCTTAGCCATTATCATCACATTTACGTGTTATCAAAAACATACCGTAGAAAACGGAATAGAAATGAAAAGATACCAGAAAAAATTTCTGAGTACGATCTGAGAATTTTTTTCCGAATAAGAGAAACTTCGCTTCATGTTCATTCTGAATAACCATTGAAAAAAATCAAGTTTACACACTTGTTCCTTATGAGTGATGTAATGATAAAAACTTGCTAGAGATAGAAAAGTCATTTTAATTAAAGATTATTGCCAAGGAGACAAATGTTTGTCAACAAAGAAATAGTTACGGGAATCTTAAACATCAATTGAACCTAAGAAGTAGCGAATAACTTGTGAAACTCATTTCACATTATTGAATGGCTGATTGTTGATTATTTTTAAACTTTAAAACTTGTTTGAAGCGCCAATGGTGTAGCGGTTAGCATGGTTACTTGCCAAGTAACAGACTCAGATTCAAATCCTGGTTGGCGCAATCACTCATTTTTTAATCGGTCATTTACCTATCAATACAGCGAACACTGCAGTTGCTGAAGAGAGAATGGAGCAATAACGTCACACTTTCGACAACAAAGAATATATAAAAATATGATCTTACGACATTTTTTAAGTTTAATAGTTTATTTTGTTTTATAGAGTTTATTTGACTACGAATGTAAGAACAGAAATAACTCGTTAACAATTAGAATTTCAAGAGCATTTTTCGAAATGCATCTACAAACTTCCATCTATATTAAAATTACATTTAACTGAATTGTTTGGAGTGCAATAGTAGTTTATAAAACATGTGTCTATGAGTTAGTCCAAATTTTTCAAATGCTATGCTTGAAGTTTCGAATTACAGTCATTTTCGAAAGTGAAATTTGATATGTGTAAGTACATTAACACATTAAATAGTTTTCGAGCATAAAGTTCACAATGGTTGATAGCAATCTTTTCAGATGGTGTGGAGTGTGACTGAAGAGAAGACCAATATCCACACTAAGTAACTGAAAACGTTTATAACTCTAGTGACTTTAAAATGCTTCGATAATATCCCATCATCACTGAACTCCAAAAACAAGACATTAGTTTTCAAAAATAGCAATGGTATGCGATAGACATATGTTTTTTTCTCCTGACCCAGATTTTGTCGTATGTATTTAGCATCAGTTAAAATCAGGTCCAAATTAAATGATGTTTACACATTGATAGCATACATTCATTTTTTCAATGAGAATAGAAACGAATATTAGCCACTCTGATTCAATGATCTGTTGGTAGATCAAGGAAAATGAAGTACTCTTCAATACGTATGCAAAGTCATGTAAATACTCGGTACCATGAGCCTTATTCACAGTTTGCTTGTTGGCTACGACCATGTATAAAAAGTGGTCATACTATCTTATTTGTTGCTAAGAGCAGTCCCTTCTGTCATCTCTCTTTCTCAATCGTCTTGCTAGAGTAGATATTGTCTTCCACCTTATCCAAGCAACATACACTCACATCTGTGAAAGACATGATCGATTTTCAATGAAACATATACACAATTTCACATGTTTACCATCAATTTCATGTTTATCCTTATCCAAAACTATCGAAAAATCATCAAGATTCGAGAGATTTTTCAGTCGTTCAAGATCAAAATTGAGCAGTATTCCAAAAGAGAATTTGATCAATGTATGCATCAAGATAGTTCCCTAAGATAATTGTATTTATTCAATCAACAGATAGTCTATTATTCACAGTATCAAATAATTGTGAGACCAAATCGAATAATTGAAATTTGACAAGCATACAATAATATTAGATTTTGAATATATGCTAAGATATTTCTCTATTTGTTTGTGATCTTATCAAAAACTTCTAAAATTAATCACCAAACTTAGCACCAATGTTTATAGCATATAATCATGCTACTAAAGATAGTTCGATAATCGGTCACCGATAGAACAAAACACGAAAAAAAAGAACTTCTCTTGTCTTTATGTTCTTTCACAATGTTGAGTAATTGCATGGTTATATATACACATATAAAATATAGATTTAAATGCAGTTCTATCTTGTAGACTTTCTTAGATTTCGTATTGAAAGAAAAGTCAAACATTGATGTCTGAAAGAAAATGTCAGAAGACAACACAGATCAATGAAGAGAATCGAATGTCAGTTGAATGCATTATTGTTGTCCTATTTATCTTTCATATTTTCTTTAGTTTGAATACAACAACGATTACTAAATTTGAGCATTTACCGAACGAGTTAATATTAACTTGTTTTACTTATTTTGATTTCTATCGGTTATATGAAATCTTTTTTGGTTTAAATCAACATTTGAATGAACTTATTCTAAATCAAGCAAAAATTTACATTAATTTATGTTCAATTCCACATGGAAAATTTTTAACATTTTGTTTTAAATTAAATCAATTAACAACGATAGGTAAAAATTATCCATTATCAATTCAAACTTGGGATGAAGATAAATTTAATTTAATTTTGAATGATGATTTTACGAAAGATAAATTTTCTAAACTCAAATCATTATCAATATCGAATATAAAAGTTTCAACTTTAACAGATATTTTATTTGATGAAACAACAAAATTATATGAAACATTAGAACGACTAAGTTTAGAGAATGAGATTAGTGGAGAAGACTATGAAATAGAAGGTAAGTCACAATCTAACGAGTGACCCATAAAAAGAATGAGAGTCTGTTTATTTTCTCAATATCTTTTCTGATTTTCATAGATTCAAGCTGAACATTTTTTTCAAAAGGTTCAACGTTTAATTCTCTGCAAATCCGATAAACAAATGGGTATCATAGAGATAAAATCAAGAAAAATAGTTACTATAGTAATACTGCAAAACATACGACATCAATAACTTCCAAACACGAAGTCCAATTGTTTTGTATTTATGTGTTTTCATGCCAAACGTTATACAAAAATTTCGACAAATCGTACTATCCGTTTTGTAGAGCTTCAAAAGCTATATCTTATTGATAATATGTTCAAGAACTTTTATAACGGAACCTTATTTCAAACACTTATTAGCTCTTATTTTATGAAATTAAGTTTCGTTATAAAAGTTCTTGAACATACTGGTAACAGAAAGCTTCTAAAACTTTGCAAGATTGACAGTACAATTGGTCTATATAGTTCGATCTGAGAACACATAAATACAAAAAAACTGTATTTTGTGCTTGAAACTTGTTGATGTTGTATGTTCGTAATATTACTATAATAACAATTTTACTTTTATTTCTGTGACATTTATTGGCAAACGGTTTTGTAGAGAATTACATAGTGAATCTTTTGAAAAGAGTCCAGTTCGAACCTATGAAAACTAGAAAAAATATGGAGACTCTTATTATTTATAGGCTATCAGTTACATTATTGTTGTTTTTTTTAATCTATTTTTCAGGACTAAAAAGAAAAGAACTGATATAATATTTCTTGTTATTAATTATCTTTAATGTTTATATTATCTGTCTTTGTGTAGGATTCTGTAGTAAATTAATATCATCAAAAATGAAATTGTTAAAATATTTGATTTTAAACTTTGAACCGTATTCATGTGGATGCGAGCATGGTTTGCAAAGTCGTACCGATTATGTTGATATAAAATTTGAAGAATTGTTAAGAAAAAAAAATTCATTAAGTAATTTGGAAACCATTATTATTGGTTGTAAGTTATCCAAATTTTATCTTTTTCTATACAAGCATCTAATTTCTTTCAATAGATATTCCTGAAAATGATGATACTAAGACAACAACAAAATTATCATTTAATACATTGATTGAAAATTTATTACCTTATCTACCTAAATTAAAGAATTTGATAATAAACTCAATTTATTTTAATGAACATAATTATCAACAACAATATCAAGTATGCGAAAAATATCTTCAGACTTTCTAATAAAAAATTTTACTCTAAATTCTAATTGAAAGAGTTAAAGAATTACACGAAAAAAGATACTATCTAACAATGAAATTGTCTATTAAAAATAGTTTAACTAAAAACTTCGATAATATTTGAAAGCAGTTTTTTTTCATTTCTCTTTGCTAAAATTTTTCTTTTCAATGATAGACATCATCAACTACGCGAAACAAGTTTATGATACCATCAAATTTAAAATTAATTAAGATTTGGACTGATATGAATGAGAATAACCAAGATGATGACAAAGAAAATGAAAAGTTGTTACAAAATTATTTTATAAATAACAACTCTTCTGACATAACAACAATTAAAGTATTTAATATTAACAATAAAAATGTTTTACAAAAGAGTTTGTTTATATGACAAACCTTTATATTTTATCAATGCTTCTTTTTTAAATAAAATTTTTATTTGTTCATTCTAAAAAAAATTGTCTACTTCAATTCTTATTTTGAGTATTTATCATGAATAGTATAGATGTTACTTTTCTAAAAGAGAACTGTCCTATATTAGTTGAGAAAAAAGAAATTCAATCTATCTTCAGAAAACAAAATATGATCACCATTTGTTGTGGCAATTAAAACGTCTAGAATTCAGATTCGATAGGGTGAATGATCATTATTTCATTAATTTGAACAAATAAATACGACTTGTTCTTTTGATTACAAAATGAAACTGCAATGGCTAATTCTTTCCCACAGTGATTATGCCTAGAAACTGTTCGTTCTCATTGGTACCGTCTATATAAAAATTATCGCGCAACGAGAGAGTGTCTATAATAAATTGCTTGCTTAGTGTTGTCGGTGAATGAATTGTTTAATAAAACTCTTTTTCAAAATGAGATATAGATAAAACTTATCGTACGTTTAACCATGAATGCTTTATTAGAACATTGACTATATGAATTAATGGGGACGTGATAAAGAGAAGGAATATGCCCACAAAACGAGTTATGTCAAGATTTCAGAGGATTTGAACGATTATCTTAATCTTTTTTTACGATCGAAAAATATCTGAAACAAATATGCTGAACGGAATTTATTGATCAGGTTTATCATACTCTCGAGATATTCTAAAAAGCAAAAACTCAGTACTTAAAAATCTAAACAACGACTACGTATGAACGAGACAGTGTCAAAAACAAAGTTTAAGTTGAAGAATTGAAAATATTAGAAAAAGTTGACTCATCGATTACTAAGAAAAAAACATAAGTTATCGACTGTACGAATCCGTGATACACTGTCTGAACTATTCAAAGAACAAAAACCTAGTTGAAGCAATAACATGAGAAAGTAGCTAATTTCTAATAAGAAAATTTCGAACATTGATGATATTTATACAACAAGCAAAACAATGGATTTCGGGCATTCAGTCACCTTGAAAAAAAACAAGAAAGATTGATTAATAAACAATTGCAAATTTTTAACAAATATACGTGTGTGAGTGAGTGCTTATTCCAAAGGTAAAACATCACTGATAATTCTCGATCAAGATTTCGTAAACCATGAACATGACATCGAGCAAGTAGTACTTATTACTATGCACTGGAATGAGAACATATTAGCCTCGGATTGTATGTTTCAACAGGAGAATACTTCTGTCCATACTTACCACTCAATGGAATCATGATGCATACAGTATATTGATGCCTTTGTACGAAAAGATCGATGATCAACTAATTCATTTGATATAAATTAAGGTCAATTTTGACGACCAAGTAAGGATTATCTAGACATATGATCGTTTCTGATTAAGGAAGAGAACTGATTTGCTTATATAGTTCTTTCGAAAAGATCTCGGGCTGATCAATAGTTCTTTATAAAAAGAAAACAATAGAAACAGAGCTAACGAGGAAAGTCCCTCAACTGATTAGTCGTTCTAGATACTGTAAAAGTTTCAGGTCTTTTGATTAGCTCGTTTCCTAAAATAAGAACATCAAATTTACCGGTATATATAAAAAGTGTACAAGACAAATCTTTATCTGGCTGTATCTGAAGATAGGAATAAGAAAATGATCTGAAACTTTCACAATAAACTATTTTTATTAAGATCTGTTATATTACGGCAGTAATAGATTAAGAGTTCGAACTGTTTTCTGGGTATTCATAGGTTATTAAGGTTTACATGATACACATAGTCTTGATTCCAAAGCTATTAATCAGTTGAGAGACTCCCTTCATAAGAGAAAAATCTAGTGACCAGTTCCGTTCTATAATTATCCACAAATATAAATATAATTATTGATATTTTGTTTTGATATGAAAATTGGATATTGTTTAAACATAACATCATTTTATTTTATTTGTTTTTTTTTTGACACTTGCTCTTCGTTTTCGTTCATCTTTTCTTTTTTCTCTCATCACATTTTACATCTTTTCGATTGTAAAAGAAAAAAAAACGAAATAGACATAAAATGTGTTCGTAGTTATAATAAATAAAGAAGAAGAAAAACCAACAGTAACAAGAGAAGAGTGTTGAATTATTCAAAAGAGAAGTGTTCAATCATAATCACCTATGATATCATAAGAAAAATTATTATTTTTATTTATATATTTGTTAATTTCTACTTACTGTAATCGATCGGTTCAGCATCTTCATCAACGTTTAAATTTTGAAGATCAACTTTATATCGAAGAATACCACCGACACCACCAAACCCACGAACAAATTGAGAGCCTTCTTGACTTTTATCGGTTACAATTTCAAGTGTGGCACCTGTATATATATATGTGTGTTTTGTTTCAATTAACAGAAATAAAGAGTGGACTGTAAGTTTCTAGACAACATATTTAACTATTTTTCGCGTATTTAAATATATTCGTAGTGTATCCGAATCAGAATTTTGTGTTTTTCCAGAATATTAAAAACTTATTATTTTAAAGACAAATCTGCTTCCTGCTGGCATCAAATAAGTTCTGCAAATATATAGTACTTAAGGGTGATCTCTACTCTAAAAAATGACAGAATTATGACGGAGGTGCATTTTGCTCTGAAGAGATGAAAATAAAAAAAAAACCTGATCGCTTTGTAGAAAATTATTTTTTGAATGTCTCCAACAAGTTCCATTTGAGGGTTTTTTCTCCCCCCCAAAAAAAAAATCTTTGCGTCTTTTCAAGATTTTCTCATAGCTCAATAATCAAAAGTCATTCAAAAAAATTCTAAACATAAATCAACAGAGCATATAGAATTCTGAATACAAAAACTGATCAAAACATGATCGACTTTCATGTGGTGGAGCAAAAATTTCAGGTCAAACGATTTTCCGTTGCCTGATTTATTCGGTCTTCTTTGGATAATTTCACGATCGCAGACAATCGAGGCATCTTCACGTCTCACCATTAAATCGAATTGACATATCGTATCAATGACACAATATACATATAGATAACCCTTTTTTTTTGGGCTCTAGAGAAAAAACCACTTCATAGTAAATCGTTTGCATTAAGGTCTATCGACCTCGGATTACTACTTGTGATCAAAGTTTATATATTTTTCATATACATTGTTTCTCATTCTTTTCCGATATGTTTACATACACGAAAAACTAATAAAATATGTTGTTTCGAAACTTTCAGTTGAACCCTTATTCAAAAATGAATAACTTTAAAAACAAAATGAAATCTTTTTTTTTTACCAAAATTTTTATAATTATTCGCGAACCATTCAAGTAATGGCATTTCTTCAACATGTTCTAATTCAACTCCACTATCTTTATCTTGAAAATGTGATTTTTCTTTTTCTTGATCCGAACGTAAATGTAAAACTTTTGTTTCTTGTGTCTGTGGATTACGTAAAACATAACGCATAACATCAAAATTTTCCCAAACAATTAATGTTTCAACAGCGCCCATTTCAAGTGCTTTCAATGTTTCCTCAATACCAAAACAATATTGACCAGAATCTTTTGATACTTCATCAAAATATCGAGCTACAAGAAAGAAGAATTCGTTTTTTTTTTGTTTCATCAAATAGAAAAAAAAAAACAAATTTTGTTCTATTTACAAATTAATTTTTTTTCTTGAATAAATTTCACATCACCAAGTGTTTCAGCAGCTAATTCAATAGCTTGATTAAAACCATTCTCACCACCATATGATACATCAACTCGTTTAAGTACTTTAACTTGTAAACGCTAAAAACATCAACATATACATTAGAAAAAACATTTAAACAAAAAACAAATTCATCTTACTGGATCAAACATATCAGATTGATGAAGTTCAGTTTTAAAATCAGCTAAACCAGCAAGAATTATTCCAGTTACATTTACTTTATCATCTGTTATAAAACATTGTACAGCTGTTTCAGCAACTTTTCGAACATAATTATGACGTTTCTCCATACGAAGTCGAGCAAATCGAAGTGCACTTTGACCACCACGACCATGTTTTTTTGGTAAATCAACAGAAAATTTTGTTATGACTTCTCGAGAGTTCCCTTGTAAAGTACCGAATAATGCACCATTACCATCCATAACAATGAAACCAAAACGAGAATCATCAGCTAATAAGGCTTGTAATGCCTTTAGAAAAAGAAAATTTTTTTTTGTTTTGTTTGTTATCAACGTAAAAATATTTTTTAGACAAAATCACGATATACATGATAATCTGTTGAAATTTTACTAGAATAAGGAATCATTTCAGAGTTTTAATATGTAATAATTAATTGAAAATATTATAATAAAAAAAGATGATCTTTTCGAATTCGAAATACTAAATATTTTGATTCAATGAGCTTTATAAAGCATGAATTTATGTTGTTAGTTAAGAAGACTAGACATATTTGAATCAAGTTAAAGTTTTTACTAACAAATTTAAAATATAAAATAGTCCTAGCAGAATGTTTTAATGTGTTTCAAATCTAAAACAAAGAAGCGTCTCAAATATCATCATTTTCAAATATAAGAGAAAATTATACTTTGTATTCTGACTTTCGTAAAAAATTCTTATTTTATTTTTCAATAACGACCACTTTACATGTATTGTAAATACATTAAAATTTGTTAGTTTGACAGTAAAAATTGTAATATATCTAGTCTTATGAACTACCGACATAAACACTTCCAGTGCTGGATTGTTTGAAATAAAGATGTATTTCACAAGTATTTCTGTTAAAATAAGTATAACTGGTCAACAATTGAGAAATTTACAGTGTTTGTTTTTGGCAAGATTCTAATGTTTTCTTTTCATTTAATATTTTAATCTAATTATAAAATACGATTTATTCAAAATGACTTACTTCAGTATGAAATTTATTGTCACATAGATAAAGTGAAGTATTGATTGGTTTAAATGGTTCAAAATCGATGTTAACTTTTTTTTCTTTACCATCCTCTGTTACTATTGTTCCACAATAGATAACAAGTCCATTGTTGGGTACTATAAAAAAAATTAACATAATAAAATTTTCAATTGAATTTTTTTTGTTTTCAATAAAACCTTTATTATAAAGTTTAAGACGAGCTTGTACCGATGTAATAGCAGAAAGAACAGATAATCGATTAACACGTGATTTAATATTAGATGCTGTACCATATTCATCTGCGAGCATTTTAGCAATACGTGGTACTTGATCACGAGGTGGAATAATTAATGAAATCATACTTGTACCATTACCTCTAGCTGCTTCTAAACTTTTAATTAATTTTTTAATTTTCCATATTTCGACATTTTTGTCTGATGATTCTTGTAACTGTTCAGCCATATATATATATAATCGATGTTATTTATCTTTATCCTGTGATCTTAAACAGGCACACTTAAAAAAAAAAGTACGAACAAAAATTCTTCTTAATAAATGAATAAGTAATATTATGCAAACAAATATAAATCGATTATTTTCATAATTACAAACGGTGACTTAACGTATAAAAAAAAAGGCATGACGTGAAAAAGCTGGTGGCGCAATATTATCAATTGATGAATAATAGGCCAGTGTTAAATAGTTGAAAAAGAATTTTTGAATATTTAAAACTTTTTTATAAAATATTTATTGTTATGATTTAAATGAAATTCTTTGTATTCAAATATATGTTTTAAGATAAAAATTTAAGCAAAAAAGAAAATATCAAATTATCGATAGATGGAGCTTGATGATGAGTAATCAGAGATTTTTATGGTTGTCATATATGATAGATTCATTTGGATGATACCTATTGATCTTAAAATTTATAATTTATGCAAATAAATTTGTCTAGGTCTCTATTGTAAAATATTTCATAATTAGGAAATTATTTATTTACTGTAGATAATAAAAATTCAAATGAATAAATTGACAACTATCATAATTTAAGATAATCAACAAGAATATTCTTATTAATACATTCAATTCAACTTTTCCATGAAACATAATATGTTTAAGATTCATTTCATAATTATAAATGATCAATAATGCACTAGGACTATCGAACATATTTGTACAAAAGTTTCTATGGGTTTGAATTCATTTTTTGATACGAGAAAAAAACTAAACTTGCAAGTCTAATGTTGGTACATGGAAGATTTAAGGAAAGAATTTATTCATAGAATTTCGACCATTTTCTAAATAGATATTTTGATAATTATTTTTTTTTTATCTGAAAATTTTCAAACTGATCTCTTGTATTGAAAGATTTTATGTTTTTCTTTTAAATTCAAAAGTATACTCTTTAAGTTATTGAACAGCATGCTTAGGTATCACATATTTATTACAATTTCGTTTTTTTGTTTGTTAGTTAGTGAATAAGATATAACGGTAAAAAAAAATCTAGATGTTAATTCAATATTGCCATAGATAATTTTGTTTGATCAAATAATCTTAATTTGATATTGACCATCCAACAAATGTTCCATCATCTGCCCGTTGTACAGATCGTACTTCAACAATAGCTTTACGATCAATAGGACCATAGATATGTGGAAAAAGTGAATCGAATTCTGATGCTTTTTCCCATTTGACAGGTGATGCTGGATCTTTTAATTTCATTGTATCAATAACAAATAGAACATAATCACCGGCAACATTTTTATAGAATCGATTAGCTACTTTAATCATAAGTTCATCACCAGATGTACAGTGAATAAAACCATCTTTGTCATATTCAGCAGGTAAATAAGGTGTATTTTCTGGCCATGAATACCATCTTGAAGTAGGTGCAAGGTGATAGATAAGACTCATATTGCCACGTATACGTTTCTTCTTGCTTTCTTTATGAATGGTATAGAAAATAAATGAAAAAAGACAAAGATAAATCCAATAAGAAGAAAAGGAAAATATGGACTTGGATTATTTATAAAAACGAGTCGCCAGTTTCTGGAAAATTTATATCAAAAGTCTTGTTTAATATTTTTTATTCTCAAACGAAATAAATCATTCATGATTGTACATTGTCACTATTGTTTGAGTCACAGAGCTATATAATTTCCAAATCGAAGGTAATTATAAATGGATACAAGCAATTACGTTTCGAAAAGTTTTTTATTTTACTTCGAGTTCACTGTTTCTTTCTATTGATACTGAATGTATTCAGTTGGAAATGTGCCAATACCGAAACAAAGTGTTTTCAAACGAACTTCATTCCTATATGAATTTTCGTCAGATGTCTTCTATGAATTCATTGTTTTCTTGATAGTTACCAAAACGAATACAAACATGTCATAGAAATAGCAGTACTTCTATTGATTCTTCTACTTTTATGCAGAGACATTGCATTACAACATCGTGATCCTATTTATAGCAAAAAACGATTAATTGTATGGAGTGTTTCATGTCAAGCATATAGACATGCGACTTTTGCTGTCTTTTAGGTAACATCACTATAAGTTGATTTATTCCATGTTTGTTGTAAAACATTGCATCTATCGAGATAAATACACGCTAGTGTCTATATAGGAAGAAACGTAAACATCAGAGAGAGGAAGAGAATGGTGATCACCTTGTTATTTTATAAGGCATCGACAAGGTGTTGCACTCCGTTGTTACCTATTGGATTGAGCGGAAGATTCAGCGTGACAAGTGCCTATTCATAGAAGAGGGCCTATATGATAGAGATTGAAAGACAATAATGATTACCGTATTATTTCGTAATGCATTAGCGATATGTTGTGTTCCTCTTTCGTCGATTCGATTTTTGTAAAGATCCAATGTAGTGAGTGTCTACTTGTACAAGAGAAGATGAATATGATAGAAAAAAAAACAACTAATAGTGATAACCATGTTATGTCGTAAAGCATCAGCAAGGTATTTTATTCCTTTATCTCCGATTTGATTATTGTAGAGAGTAAGCGTAATGAGAGTCTAGGTAGAGAGAAAAAGAGGTTGAATATGAAAGAGATCAGAAAAGAATGAAGATTACCATAATGCTTTTTAAGGTACTAGCAAGATGTTGTACACCTTTTGCACTGATTCGATGTTTGTAAAGAGTGAGTATCTAGGCATAGCAGATATGAATATATATATATTATATATAGATGAGTGAATAAAGAACAAGAAGAATGTCACTTTTTCATCACGAATTTTGACAGCTGCTTCAACAGCTACACAAAATCCGCTTATGTCTTCATTAAGACTGAGTGTGGTGAGTGTCTATGTATAGAGAAGAGAAATATAAAATAAATAACAAAGGAGAGAAGGTTACTCTGCTTTGTTGTAGCGCATCAGCAAAATACTGTGCTTCTTTTTCTCCGATTCGATTTTTATGAAGGTTCAATGTGGTAAGTGTCTACATGTAGAAAACAAGGCCTATATGATAGAAATTAGCAATGAATGATGATAAATAACCATGTTATGTCGAAGTGCATCAGCAAGATGTTTCGGGTCGTGGTCTCCAAACATATTATATGAGAGATTCAGCGTAGTGAGTGTCTATGTGTAAGAAAGATAAGCATGAGACAAATTAAAAGAGAGAAAGAAGATTATCGTGTTATGAAGTAAGGTATTAGCCAGATGTTGTGCTACCTTGTCTCCGATCTGATTACTACTAAGATCCAATACTATGAGAGACTATATGTAGAGTGGAAATCGGTTTTGAAAAGGTAATGAAATTTACCATGTCATCATGTAATACATCAGCAAGCTGTTGTGCCTCGTTATCTGTGATTTGATAGTCTCGCAGAAATAGTGTAGTGAGTTTCTATAAGGAAAAAATGTAGATGAGTTGATGAAATTGTTTGATTACTACAGCTTGGATGATATGCTTTCTATTTAAAAAATAAATTTATCTGATGAAATTCTCTCATTCGGGTACACATAAATATTGATAACAGTAAAGTATCTTTGCTAATCGTCAAATGACTGTTTCTGTAGTTTTGTAGTCATACAAATTTTTTACGTACTTTCTCCGCAGTGTCATTAGCCGTTGTATGTATCAATCGCTGAGTGAAGCGATGGATGCCGTCAACCGACGATATTTCACATCTGACTGAATCTGTCAACTCAGTTATTTTGACGGGTGTGGTATAGACCCTAATCGTATGAGATAGGAATTCATAATCACAAGTAAGAAAACAATGTTTCTCTTTGAGCCAGAACGGTGTTCGAAATGAATCAATCAGAGATGCCAAGCTGGTATAATTATTATTTTTCCATAAAGGATAGGCATTTAAGTAGAAAAATTCGAATTGATCTAGGACAGCTAATTTAGTTTTGATGAATTGTTTCCAATGATAGCCATCCGGTACCAAGTCCAAGTTTCGTCCATTAAACCTGAACTTCAGATGGGCAAGTGTCGACGTTAATGAAAGTAACTTTTCAAGTTTTTTCAAAGGCAATGAACACTCCATGATGATCAACGACTTCAAAAGTGGACACTGCATTAGAGTAGACAATGATAATTTTTTTTCATTCACACAATCCATAGTGCAATTTTTCATTACAAAACTTTGTAAGCAAGGCCAGTGCTGGAGAATCGTGAGGTAATGACTAAAAGTGCACTAGTGATCAGCGCTAATGAACTTTTTCGTTCCGATTCCGACTCCGCTTCCTAAAAAAAATTATTCGTGGATCTGATAGCGATTCCTATTCCGATGAAAAATTTTTCGGAATTCCGACTCCGATTCCGAAAAATTCCGATAATTTTTGTTCATGATTTAGCGACATCGAACACAAGTTGAAATCATATATAATGAATGGCTAGCGACCGAAAACGAATCATACGAGAAATAGCCCCAAGTATATGTTCATAAGATTTGTCTTTGTAGTACGTACCCTCAGCTCGATGACTCATCGAATCAATAGCAAATCTTCACGGATTGGTACTTGCATTTTTGACATGGGCCCGATATAAGTTTGATCACATATTGTAGAGAAAATTTTTCT